CACAAAACTCGATAAACTCCAAACCCACGGATCATCTTGGTAACTCACCCTCTCACTAACTCCCAGGCATTTGAACACACCCAGTACTCTCTTTCTCTCTCTCTCTCTCTCTCTGGTCTGTGTTTTTTAATTCTCTCTTTGGTCTCTCTCTGGTCCCTGTCCTCAATCTCTCTCTCTCTCTTTCTGGTCCCTCTCTTTGGTCTCTGTCTCTCTCTCTTTGATCTCTCTCTCTCTCTGGTCTCTCCTTGATCTCTCTCTCTCTGGTCTCTCTCTCTCTGGTCTCTCCTTGATCTCTCTCTCTCTGGTCTCTCTCTCTCGGGTCGCTCTCTCTCCTGGTCTCTCCTTGATCTCTCTCTCTCTGGTCTCTCTCTCTCTGGTCTCTCCTTGTCTCTCTCTCTCTCTCTCTCTCTCTCTCTGCTCTCTCTCGGGTTCGCTCTCTCTCTGGTCTCTCTTTGATCTCTCTCTCTGGTCTCTCTCTGGTCTCTCTCTCTCTGCTCTCTCCTTGATCTCTCTCTCTGGTCTCTCTCTCTCTGGTTCACTCTCTCTCCGGTCTCTCCTTGATCTCTCTCTCTCTGGTCTCTCTCTCTCGGGTTCGCTCTCTCTCTGGTCTCTCTTTGATCTCTCTCTCTGGTCTCTCTCTCTCTGCTCTCTCCTTGATCTCTCTCTCTGGTCTCTCTCTCTGGTTCACTCTCTCTCTGGTCTCTCCTTGATCTCTCTCTCTCGGGTTCGCTCTCTCTCTGCTCTCTCTTTGATCTCTCTCTCTGGTTTCACTCCAGATTCTTGTGTTAGAAGTTGTGAAGTTGTGTTATTTTCAAGGACACTTCTGTATCTTGACCATAGACTGTATATAATAACGGACAGAGTCACGCCTATCTCCGCCGTTCATAGGAGTTGGCCATGAAAAGTGCTTTCATGGAGCAATCCAAGATGGCCGCGAGTGGTCCCGCCCACAAGAAAATTGTGAAAAAACGCATCCGTGCATGTGTCAGCCGGAGAGAGCTCCATTCATTTGAACGAGAGACTTCTAAAGTCCACAGCGACTAAACTAGACTGGTCCGGAACACTCAGCATTGACACACATGTGGAACGGAGCTTTGGGCCAAGAGACAACTTTTGGTCCATCCTGTAAAGACGTTTTTGAGAGGTCTGCTAACGCTATATGTTAGCATTGGCTAATTCTTCTTCTGGGTCCACCCCCACAGGCCCGGGGTGGTATTGCAGCATGTCAGCTCACGTCATTTTGGACACTTTTGAGCTGGGACCCGCCTCCACTGGTCTTGACACACACCTTCAGAGAGAGATGAGATTAGCATGTGAGCTACGACGGTAAAAACGCCTGAATATATGACAGATTTGTTTGTGTTAACTAACCTCTCACTAACTCCCAGGCGTTTGAACACACCCAGCTCCTTCTTCTCCGTCATTAAAAACATCTCATTTCATATTCCTTTGGCTTCTTTTCCGTCGAGACTTTTCCGACGAGCGAGACTTTGGTGAACTCTGAGAAGTGTTTGAGCCAAAGAGAAAAGTCAAAAGGTGAAAAACATTTGTTGGAGTTGTTTTTGTGCCAGTTCCGGTGAAGTCGGTCGAGTCTTTTGACCTTGGTCTGGACCGATGCCAAAGAATCAGGACTAAACTTTGACTAAACCGTGAGTCCGAAAGTCCGTTTGACGAGGTCTGTTTTAACACATCCCAAAGAGTAGATATAGTTTCACACTGCTGTAGTTTCCGGACTATAAGCCGCACCTGATTATAAACCGCAAGCTCCCATTTTTAGAAAGAAATATGACTCTGTCCTTGTATAAGCCGCACTGGACTATAAGCCGCACCTGGTCCACTTTGTGATATTGAAAAATGTCTCTCAAAAACGTTCATATTGTATTTTAACTGTGATTAATAAGAAGTGAGTCACGGTTTTTAATCTTTAGAGTGAAGCAGAAACAGAAAGAGCAACATATGCTGCTCTCTTTTCTCTTTCATGTTTGTACAAAGAACCAGAAAACCATTTATTATGAGATATTTACACAAAAACGTTATAAGTGAGGATTTTAACTTTGTTTAATCTGCCTGTTTGACAAATCTTACATTTAACTGGACCTCTGTGAACGACTCTAACCCTAACCCTACTTTCACTCTGCACAATGCTCCGAAGAGTCCGAAGAATACGGTACTTTATGACGCGCTAGAAAAGATTTAGTTTAGATTTTTTTTTACTGAAACTCACAAGAAACAGACAAAAGACCAAAAACACAAAAGCTACATCTACAAATGCAGGTTCAAACATTCCCATGTGTCAGAACGTTCCAGTCACAGCCCAGGCCTTTATCTGACAGAGTGGGGCCCCCTGGTGGGCTGCGAGGGCATTGCAGGGGGGCAGCGAGAGGTCATAAAAAAAGCTGTTTTATATAATTATTGCATGTTAAATTCATAATATTTGGTTTGTAAATGTAAAATACTTGTGTTCATTATTTGACCCGTCAGATTTGAAAGCGGGCCGCGGTGTCGCTGACTTTGTGAACGGCTGTGGCAGAACATTAGTGAGTGCTCAAACAAACTCTCCTGATCCGAGTGAAGCCGTCAGAGCCAGAAGACCTGAGGCTGTTATTGCACCAGAATAGAGTTCATGCTGAAAGAAAACTGGTGCAGGCCCAACTTTTTACTTTTCTTTTATTCCCTTTGCAAAAATACATAGAAAAGGAAGAACCACGTGAGTCACTGTTTGACTCTTTGGGCTGAGAGCTGATTGGCTGAGAGAGGGGGGTGCTCTCACGTTCGCCTCGGTCTGAACAACATGGTCTAAAGATGTCATAGAGGCCAAAGAATGTGGTCTATGCCCCCCCCCCCCAAAAAAAATTATGAAAAGATTAATAAATTCTTAAAATAATCGTTGGATGCGGGCAGCCTTATTAAAACCTTTAGCTTTAGCACAATGAAAGAAATATATATACTGTAGTTCATAAAAATAGACTCAGTAAAGTGACAGTGGCTGTGCGAGGGTGGATGAGTCTGTCACTGAAGCTGCTCTCCAGATCAGATAGAGTGTCCTGCAGGGGGCGCCACCACCATTTCGGCTCCAATGAATAACCAAAGTACACTGCTTCTTACCCTGGTCCCTGTTTGGCTGTGATTACCAAAACAGGTGTTTTCTAGTCTTTGTGGGTTTCTTCTTCTTTGATAAATATTTAAAAAGTGATTTGAATTTGAGGAGAAGCTAATGCGCCGCAGCACCGGGGAGTCGAGCTAACATTTAGCTCTGTAATGAGGCACGGAGACTGTCGGCAAACACTGTCAAAAACAAGGTCCTGGAGACGTTTTTGTGATGAGAGGATTCCCTGGATGAAGGACAAATGAGTTTTTCACAACCAATATTTAGTTTAAAGGAGATTGAGTCGTTCATTTCATTCAGTCATGATTTTCCCGGAGGCTGTACACGGATGGGCAATGCTAACCCGCTAGCTCTCTGCCGTCCCAGTGTTGTCTTATTGTCTTTGTAAATCACGATCTGTGTAAGGAGTGACCAATCAGATGCCTTCATTCAGGGGGGGGGGGACTTCAGCTTTCCTTAGCAACTATCTTAGCAACACAGGAAGCTAGCAACTCCAGCTAGCTTGCGTTCACATCGGCCTCTTCTGTAAAGGCTAACACCGTGGTTTCTCCTCATACTTTCCACTTGATAAATGATTCTTACTAAAACACGGAAAGTCAGAGTAAAACCACATTAACACACATGATTTATCGATTTGTAACGTAAGTATTTAGCGCTTTTGATCGTACGACAAAGCCTCTCTCACGACAGCATCATAATAACCTCTTAGCTCCGCAGACGGCTGTCGGAGGCGTTGGCTAGCAGAGCCGAGCAAACACGCTGCAAACCGCAGACGCATAAATGAACATCGGGCAAACAGGGAGCATTTGTTTAATCTGAGAATGAACGAGAAGCGTGTCCTGAACCAAATATTAGCACAGAGCGGTCGAGCGGGAGATTCAGGAGCCGGGAACGCACACGGCTTATCGTCGTTATGCAAACATGTGGATTACGGCGGTGTTCGTAGATATTGTCGTGTTTTGTCTCAATGTTGGTGATTGAATTCTGGAAAGCAGCAGCTAGACCCGCCCCCAGAGCTCCCTGATTGGACGCATTCAATTCAAATCATTGACAGACAGCTGAGGCCCCTCCCCTTTGGTCTGTCTATGGACACAAGGGACTGCTTTTTTATGTTATTTATTGACACAAAATAGTTATCGTTACGTGTTAGTATCTGGTACCGTATCCCAGCAACCCCCTCGGCTCCTCAAATGTCACCGCTGCCCACTGCTAGAAAAAAAAAATGTCCCATGTCACTTCAAATCCAGTCCCTGTGGAGGAGACCAGACCAGACCAGACCAGATCGAGCCTTTTCTGTTGCTACTATTGTCTAAATAAGACGGACGTGTCTCAGAATTTAATAATCAAATGTCCTGTCCCTGCTCTCTCCCTCTGTGACTGACACAACAGTATTTTTCCACACTTCTGAGTCTGGACTGGTCTCGGACTCTAGTTCAGGTCCAGGTCTTGGTCTTTGACTCTGGTTCGCATCCTTCCCCTCCCCCCACATTGCTCCACCGTCTGAAAAACATCTGTGCGAAAACAGGAAGCTACACTTTCCTGATTCTGAATTGTCTTCATCTTATTGTAGTCTTTCCTGTAAGAGCCGTCTGCTGTTCTGCTGGAAACCCAATTGACCTCAGGGACTTTTGATTTAAAACTATACGATTTCATGATCAAATACAGAATTTCCCGAGTTGTTAAACACATGACTTCCCCCAAACTGTGGACTAGCGACCCCTGTTCATTAGAGAACACTTGTTTACGACCTTTCCCTGTGTCTGCTCCAGTTTCTTTCACAGAAGTCGTCTTTTTGATGAGGTCATAAACACGACTCTATTCTGTGTCGCACGAGCCGAGACTGAAAAGGTTTTTGCTAAATTCCAAATCCTGTCTTTAGACCTTTGTCCGTCGCATGTTCCGGATTCTTCTGGAGGTTTTGACCTTTGACGTATTTGACAAAGGTTTTCCCGACTTTGGAAGGTGCCATTTCCAGGACGTGCCGTCAAACCGCTGGGATAGCATAGGTACAGTGTGACGCGTCCCTTTGTCTTCTTTGATGGCAGTAGCTCAGGCGGTGGAGCTTTGGGCTGAAGGTTGGTAGTTCGATTCCTGCTCCCGACGTAAACATCACTGGTTGGCAGGTGTGAAAATTTGGTGTGTTAATTTGACTGGAACGAAGGTCCTGGGTTCGAATCCCCTACCACTAAAAACATGTACAATAAGTCTGAATGAAGTGACTGAGGCTGTAGACCCAGGACTGAGGCTGTAGATCCAGGACTGAGGCTGTAGATCCAGGACTGAGGCTCTAGACCCAGGACTGAGGCTGTAGACCCAGGACTGAGGCTGTAGACCCAGGACTGAGGCTGTAGACCCAGGACTGAGGCTGTAGACCCAGGACTGAGGCTGTAGATCCAGGACTGAGGCTGTAGACCCAGGACTGAGGCTGTAGATCCAGGACTGAGGCTGTAGACCCAGGACTGAGGCTGTAGATCCAAGACTGAGGCTGTAGATCCAGGACTGAGGCTGTAGATCCAGGACTGAGGCTAGACCCAGGACTGAGGCTAGATCCAGGACTGAGGCTGTAGACCCAGGACTGAGGCTGTAGATCCAGGACTGAGGCTGTAGACCCAGGACTGAGGCTGCAGATCCAGGACTGAGGCTGTAGACCCAGGACTGAGGCTGTAGATCCAGGACTGAGGCTGCAGATCCAGGACTGAGGCTGTAGACCCAGGACTGAGGCTGTAGACTCAGGACTGAGGCTGTAGACTCAGGACTGAGGCTGTAGACCCAGGACTGAGGCTGCAGATCCAGGACTGAGGCTGTAGACTCAGGACTGAGGCTGTAGATCCAGGACTGAGGCTGCAGATCCAGGACTGAGGCTGTAGACTCAGGACTGAGGCTGTAGATCCAGGACTGAGGCTGTAGACCCAGGACTGAGGCTGTAGACCCAGGACTGAGGCTGCAGATCCAGGACTGAGGCTGCAGATCCAGGACTGAGGCTGTAGATCCAGGACTGAGGCTTTAGATCCAGGACTGAGGCTTTTTGTACAGAGTTAGACCCAGAATTTGGCTCCAGTCGGTTCCAGTCTTGGCACCTTTTCAAATCTATTAGAAGCATTGCTATTCCGAGGAGCTCCTGTCATTAGGATTTTATAATTTCATCTTCTTCCCTCTGCTCCTCCTGAGCCTTCATCATGAGCCTCCAGCTCTTCTGCAGCAGCCTGTCAAGAGTGTGTGTGCGTGTGTGAGGGAGAGTGTGTGTGCGTGTGTGTATGTGTGTGAGAGAGAGTGTGTGTGTGTGAGAGGAGAGAGAGAGAGTGTGTGTGTGTATGTGTGTGAGAGAGTGTGTGTGCGTGTGTATGTGTGTGAGAGAGAGTGTGTGTGTGAGAGAGAGAGTGTGTGTGTGCGTGTGTGTTCGTGTGTGTGTGTGTGTGTGCGTGTGTGTATGTGTGAGAGAGAGTGTGTGTGTGCGTGTGTGTGTGAGAGAGAGAGAGTGTGTGTGTGTGTGTGTGTGTGAGAGAGAGAGTGTGTGTGTGCGTGTGTGTGTGTGTGTGAGAGTGTGTGTGTGTGTGTGTGTGTGAGAGAGAGAGAGAGAGAGTGTGTGTTCGTGTGTGTGTGTGTGGAGTGCATGTTTAGAGTGGGTGTGGAGTGTGTGTGTGTGTATGTATGAAGTGTGTAGATAGTGTGTGTGTGTGTGTATGTATGAAGTGTGTAGAAGCATTGCTATTCCGAAGAGCTCTGCGCAGCGTCAGAGCCACGAGCTCCATTCATTTAAACGAGTGACTTCTAAAGTCCACAGCGACTAAACTAGACTGGTCCAGAACACTTCCTCAGCATTGACACACATGTGGACCGGAGCTTTGGGCCAAGAGACAACTTTTGGACCATCCTGTAAAGACGTTTTTGAGAGGTCTGCTAACGCTATATGTTAGCATTGGCTAATTCTACTTCTGGGACCACCCCCACAGGCCCGGGGTGGTATTGCAGCATGTCAGCGTACGTCATTTTGGACACTTTTGAGCTGGGACCCTCCCCCCAGGATTACTATTGCAACAACACATCATCAGTGGGTTAAACTAACCTGTCTCACGACGGTCTAAACCTGTGTAAACATGTTTACACAGGTTTACACAGGTTTACACATGTTTACACATCTTTACACATGTTTACACATGTTTACACAGGTTTACACAGGTTTACACATGTTTACACATGTTTACACAGGTTTACACAGGTTTACACATGTTTACACATGTTTACACAGGTTTACACATGTTTACACATGTTTACACAGGTTTACACAGGTTCACACATGTTTACACAGGTTTACACATGTTTACACAGGTTCACACATGTTTACACAGGTTTACACAGGTTTACACATGTTTACACATGTTTACACATCTTTACACATGTTTACACATCTTTACACATGTTTACACATGTTTACACATGTTTACACAGGTTTACACATGTTTACACAGGTTTACACATGTTCACACATGTTTACACAGGTTTACACAGGTTTACACATGTTTACACATGTTTACACATCTTTACACATGTTTACACATGTTTACACAGGTTTACACATGTTTACACAGGTTTACACATGTTTACACATGTTTACACATGTTTACACAGGTTCACACATGTTTACACAGGTTTACACATGTTCACACATGTTTACACAGGTTTACACAGGTTTACACATGTTTACACATCTTTACACATGTTTACACATGTTTACACAGGTTTACACAGGTTTACACATGTTTACACAGGTTTACACATGTTTACACAGGTTTACACAGGTTTACACATGTTTACACATGTTTACACATCTTTACACATGTTTACACATGTTTACACATCTTTACACATCTTTACACATGTTTACACATGTTTACACATGTTTACACAGGTTTACACATGTTCACACATGTTTACACAGGTTTACACAGGTTTACACATGTTTACACATCTTTACACATGTTTACACATGTTTACACAGGTTTACACAGGTTTACACAGGTTTACACAGGTTTACACAGGTTTACACATGTTCACACATGTTTACACATGTTTACACATCTTTACACATGTTTACACAAGTTTACACATGTTTACACATGTTTACACATGTTTACACAGGTTTACACATGTTCACACATGTTTCATGTATAGTTCATACAGAAAACAGCCCACGGTGCTTCACTATGGCAACATTAAAAACTCACTGTAAAAACACACACTGTAAAAACTCACTGTAAACAGTTGTAGACTCCCACCCCATGAACATAATTTAAAAACAGATTTAGTTTTATAGTATTGTAATAAACGTTAGCATTGAGCTAGTTAGCATTGTCCATATACAGTACAGTCTATTTTAACCTGGTCCATTTTTGTGTCCTCCGTACAGCGGCCGGACGGTCGATTAGAGAAGTCTCCATGTGGCTGTGTTACTATGACAAGAATAATGACAAAATGGCCTGAAAACCCCCCCCCCCCCCCCCCCCTCATCTGCCCCCCCCACACCCCCCTCCAACCCAACGACGCCTTTTACCACAATTTAGAGATGATTCAATCCCGTTTCTGAATGGAGGGCTGAAGCGTGTCGTTCTGGTCCATCTCCTCAGCCACAAAAGGCTCGATGAATGCTCTGTGATTGACGCAGATAAGGCCTCGTAATTAGAAGCGCTGATTAGGGAGAGAGGGGGGGGGGGTGAGGGAGGGGGGAGGGGCTGGTTAGCTTCCTGGCAGCAGGCGGACACATCCAGGCCGCCTCCGACACGCTTCGCAATTACACCGACTGTCACCGTCACATCCTCTTGACGTTCGTTGGTACCGACCGCCATCGTTAAAAACATGAACATTAAAAAGTATTGTTTTTTATAAATGTTATTCCCTCGTCCGCTCTTTTTCTGTGTCGGGTTTCTAAATATGGGCATTGAACCCCTCACACTCTCTCAGGTCTCTCTCTCTGGTCTCTCTCTGGTCTCTATCTGGTTTCTCTCTGATCACTGTCTCTGGTCTCTCTCTGGTCTCTCTCTGGTCTCTCTCTCTGGTCTCTCTCTCTGGTCTCTCTCTGATCACTCTCTCTGGTCTCTCTCTCTGGTCTCTCTCTCTGGTCTCTCTCTCAGGTCTCTCGCTCTGGTCTCTCGCTCTGGTCTCTCTCTCCAGTCTCTCTCTGGTTTCTCTCTGATCACTCTCTCTGGTCTCTCTCTGGTCTCTCTCTCTGGTCTCTCTCTCTAGTCTCTCTCTGGTCTCTCTCTCTAGTCTCTCTCTGGTCTCTCTCTCTGGTCTCTCTCTGGTCTCTCTCTCTGGTCTCTCTCTCTGGTCTCTCTCTGGTCTCTCTCTCTGGTCTCTCTCTCTAGTCTCTCTCTCTAGTCTCTCTCTGATCACTCTCTCAGGTCTCTCTCTCTGGTCTCTCTCTGGTCTCTCTCTCTGGTCTCTCTCTGGTCTCTCTCTCTCTGGTCTCTCTCTCTAGTCTCTCTCTGATCACTCTCTCAGGTCTCTCTCTCTGGTCTCTCTCTCTCTCAGGTCTCGCGCTCTGGTCTCTCTCTCTGGTCTTTCTCTCAGGTCTCTCGCTCTGGTCTCTCGCTCTGGTCTCTCACTCCAGTCTCTCTCTCTAGTCTCTCTCTCTGATCTCTCTCTCCGGTCTCTCTCTCTGGTCTTCTCTCTGGTCTCTCTCTCTGGTCTCTCTCTGGTCTCTCTCTGGTCTCTCTCTCTGGTCTCTCTCTGATCTCTCTCTCTGGTCTCTCTCTGGTCTCTCTCTCTGGTCTCTCTCTCTAGTCTCTCTCTGATCACTCTCTCTGGTCTCTCTCTGGTCACTCTCTCTGGTCTCTCTCTCTGGTCTCTCTCTCTGGTCTCTCTCTCTGGTCTCTCTCTGATCACTCTCTCTGGTCTCTCTCTCTGGTCTCTCTCTCTGGTCTCTGTCTGGTCACTCTCTCTGGTCTCTCTCTGGTCTCTCTCTGGTCTCTCTCTCTGGTCTCTCTCTGGTCTCTCTCTGGTCTCTCTCTGGTCTCTCTCTGGTCTCTCTCTCTGGTCTCTCTCTGGTCACTCTCTCTGGTCTCTCTCTCTCTCTCTCAGGTCTCGCGCTCTGGTCTCTCTCTCTGGTCTCTCTCTCTGGTCTCTCTCTCTGGTCTCTCTCTCTGGTCTCTCTCTCCAGTCTCTCTCTCTGGTCTCTCTCTCCAGTCTCTCTCTCTGGTCTCTCTCTCTGGTCTCTCTCTCCAGTCTCTCTCTCTGGTCTCTCTCTCCAGTCTCTCTCTCTAGTCTCTCTCTCTGGTCTCTCTCCAGTCTCTCTCTTTAGTCTCTCTCTCTAGTCTCTCTCTCTGGTCTCTCTCTGGTCTCGCTCTCTGGTCTCTCTCTCTGGTCTCTCTCTGGTCTCTCTCTGGTCTCTCTCTGGTCTCTCTCTCTGGTCTCTCTCTGGTCTCTCTCTGGTCTCTCTCTGGTCTCTCTCTCTTGTCTCTCTCTCTGGTCTCTCTCTGGTCTCTCTCTGGTCTCTCTCTGGTCTCTCTCTCTGGTCTCTCTCTGGTCTCTCTCAATGAATTAGCTGCTAATCAGTCTGTGCTAATCTAAAAACCTCCAACACTTTCTCTCTTCGTCACATCCTTCTATGGAACTAAACCCACATCCTCATTCCTCCATCTGTAATTAAAACACTTCATTCTGAAACCGTCACGCCACGTTTACCTCCTCGCCACGTCCCCCTCCTCGCCACGTCCCCCTCCTCGCCACGTTTACCTCCTCGCCACGTCCCCCTCCTCGCCACGTTTACCTCCTCGCCACGTCCCCCTCCTCGCCACGTCCCCCTCCTCGCCACGTTTACCTCCTCGCCACGTTTACCTCCTCGCCACGTCCCCCTCCTCGCCACGTCCCCCTCCTCGCCACGTTTACCTCCTCGCCACGTCCCCCTCCTCGCCACGTCCCCCTCCTCGCCACGTTTACCTCCTCGCCACGTCCCCCTCCTCGCCACGTTTACCTCCTCGCCACGTTTACCTCCTCGCCACGTCCCCCTCCTCGCCACGTCCCCCTCCTCGCCACGTCCCCCTCCTCGCCACGTCCCCCTCCTCGCCACGTCCCCCTCCTCGCCACGTCCCCCTCCTCGCCACGTTTACCTCCTCGCCACGTCCCCCTCCTCGCCACGTTTACCTCCTCGCCACGTTTACCTCCTCGCCACGTCCCCCTCCTCGCCACGTCCCCCTCCTCGCCACGTCCCCCTCCTCGCCACGTCCCCCTCCTCGCCACGTCCCCCTCCTTGCCACGTTTACCTCCTCGCCACGTCCCCCTCCTTGCCACGTTTACCTCCTCGCCACGTTTACCTCCTCGCCACGTCCCCCTCCTCGCCACGTCCCCCTCCTCGCCACGTCCCCCTCCTCGCCACGTCCCCCTCCTTGCCACGTTTACCTCCTCGCCACGTTTACCTCCTCGCCACGTCCCCCTCCTCGCCACGTCCCCCTCCTCGCCACGTCCCCCTCCTCGCCACGTCCCCCTCCTCGCCACGTCCCCCTCCTCGCCACAACCGCAGCCGCCGCACACGATATGTCGGAATGAGGCCTGTTGAATATTCACTGTCGTTATAATGACAGGACTGCAAACACACACACACACACACACACACACACACACACACACACACACACACACACACACACACACACATACAGACACACAGACACACATACACACTCTATTATTATGCTAGCGGGCTAATGGAAGGCGCGGCGTGCAAAATGAAAGCAATCAATCATGAGCCGAGGGAGAGGAGCGGGACCAGGAGAGGGACCAGGAGAGGGACCAGGAGAGGAAACAGGAGAGGGAGCAGGAGAGGGACCATGAGAGGGACCAGGAGAGGGACCAGGAGAGGGAACAGGAGAGGGAGCAGGAGAGGAAACAGGAGAGGGAGCAGGAGAAGGACCATGAGAGGGACCAGGAGAGGGACCAGGAGAGGGAACAGGAGAGGGAGCAGGAGAGGAAACAGGAGAGGGAGCAGGAGAGGGACCATGAGAGGGACCAGGAGAGGGACCAGGAGAGGGAACAGGAGAGGGAGCAGGAGAGGAAACAGGAGAGGGAGCAGGAGAAGGACCATGAGAGGGACCAGGAGAGGGACCAGGAGAGGAAACAGGGGGGGAGCAGGAGAGGGACCATGAGAGGGACCAGGAGAGGGACCAGGAGAGGGACCAGGAGAGGGAACAGGAGAGGGAGCAGGAGAGGAAACAGGAGAGGGAGCAGGAGAAGGACCATGAGAGGGACCAGGAGAGGGACCAGGAGAGGGAACAGGAGAGGGACCATGAGAGGGACCAGGAGAGGGACCAGGAGAGGGAACAGGAGAGGGAGCAGGAGAAGGACCATGAGAGGGACCAGGACAGGGAGCAGGAGAGGGACCATGAGAGGGACCAGGAGCAGGACCAGGAGAGGAAACAGGAGAGGGACCAGGAGCAGGACTAGGAGAGGAAACAGGAGAGGGAGCAGGAGAGGGACCAGGAGCAGGACTAGGAGAGGAAACAGGAGAGGGAACAGGAGAGGGACCAGGAGCAGGACCGTGATTGGTCGGTTTATTCATTAGACTTTGACGGCTAACACAGCAGACAATGGAAAATCAACGTGTACTTGGATACAGTACTAGATACTAAACTGTAATGGAAATGGGTAGGGTAGAGTAGAGTAGGGTAGAATAGAGTAGGGTAGGGTAGGGTAGAGTAGGGTAGAGTAGAGTATGGTAGGGTAGGGTAGAGTATGGTAGGGTAGAGTATAGTAGAGTAGAGTATGGTAGGGTAGAATAGAGTAGAGTAGAGTAGAGTATGGTAGGGTAGAGTAGAGTAGAGTAAAGTATGGTAGGGTAGAGTAGAGTAGAGTAGAGTAGAGTAGCGTATGTTAGGGTAGAGTAGAGTATAGTAGGGTAGAGTAGAGTAGAGTAGAGTATGGTAGGGTAGAGTAGAGTAAAGTATGGTAGGGTAGAGTAGAGTATGGTAGGGTAGAGTAGAGTAGAGTAGAGTAGAGTATGGTAGGGTAGAGTAGAGTAAAGTATGGTAGGGTAGAGTAGAGTATGGTAGGGTAGAGTAGAGTATGGTAGGGTAGGGTAGAGTAGAGTATAGTAGAGTAGAGTATGGTAGGGTAGGGTAGAGTAGAGTAGAGTATGGTAGGGTTGAGTAGAGTAGAGTATGGTAGAGTAGAGTAGAGTAGAGTATGGTAGGGTAGGGTAGAGTAGAGTAGAGTAGAGTATGGTAGGGTAGAGTAGAGTAGAGTAGAGTAGGGTAGAGTAGAGTAGAGTGGAGTAGAGTAGAGTATGGTAGAGTAGAGTAGAATATGGTAGGGTAGAGTAGAGTAGAGTATGGTCGGGTAGAGTAGAGTAGAGTATGGTAGGGTAGAGTAGAGTATGGTAGGGTAGGGTAGAGTAGAGTAGAGTAGAGTATGGTAGGGTAGAGTAGAGTAGAGTAGGGTAGAGTAGAGTATGGTAGGGTAGAGTAGAGTAGAGTATGGTAGGGTAGGGTAGAGTAGAGTAGAGTAGAGTAGAGTATGGTAGGGTAGGGTAGAGTAGAGTATGGTAGGGTAGAGTAGAGTAGAGTATGGCAGGGTAGGGTAGAGTATGGTAGAGTAGGGTAGAGTAGAGTAGAGTATGGTAGGGTAGGGTAGAGTATGGTAGGGTAGAGTAGAGTAGAGTAGAGTAGGGTAGGGTAGGGTAGGGTAGAGTAGAGTAGAGTAGAGTATGGTAGGGTAGGGTAGAGTAGAGTAGAGTAGAGTATGGTAGGGTAGAGTAGAGTAGAGTAGAGTAGGGTAGAGTAGAGTAGAGTGGAGTAGAGTAGAGTATGGTAGAGTAGAGTAGAATATGGTAGGGTAGAGTAGAGTAGAGTATGGTCGGGTAGAGTAGAGTATGGTAGGGTAGGGTAGAGTAGAGTAGAGTAGAGTATGGTAGGGTAGAGTAGAGTAGAGTAGGGTAGAGTAGAGTATGGTAGGGTAGAGTAGAGTAGAGTAGAGTAGAGTATGGTAGGGTAGGGTAGAGTAGAGTATGGTAGGGTAGAGTAGAGTAGAGTATGGCAGGGTAGGGTAGAGTATGGTAGAGTAGGGTAGAGTAGAGTAGAGTATGGTAGGGTAGGGTAGAGTATGGTAGGGTAGAGTAGAGTAGAGTAGAGTAGGGTAGGGTAGGGTAGGGTAGAGTAGAGTAGAGTAGGGTAGGGTAGAGCAGGGCTGGTGGAAACGTTCCTAAAGTCACATCAGAGACTTCATGTTCATGTGCAGCAAAAACAAGCAATAAATATGTAATGTGTGTTTTATTTAATGTTCTATATCACGACAACTAACGGCGACTACGTGACCATGTGACCGTATGACCATGTGACCGTATGACCATGTGACCACAGAGTAGCTAGTGGCGGATGCTGCAGATTAGCATCGTAAACGTAGCGGAGGAGACGCGGTGACATTTGAGCCCCGGTAGTAAAACCTCTGCAGCTTTCACGCCGTAAATCCTGAGCCCGAGGGCACTGGCAGCCCTGAGTCAGCCCGGCGCAGGCTAATGGCATGCTAACGGTTTGTGTGCGTGTCTGTGTGTGTCTGTATGTGTGTGTGTGTGTGTGTGTGTGCGTGTGTCTGTCTGTATGTGTGTGTGTGTGTGTGTGTGTGTGTGTGTCTGTATGTGTGTGTGTGTGTGTCTGTGTGTGTGTGTCTGTGTGTGTATGTGTGCGTGTGTCTGTATGTGTGTGTGTGTGTGTGTGTGTGTGTGTGTGTGTGTGTGTGCGTGTGTGTGTGTGTCAGTGGCTGTTTGCGTAGCCTTTTGGGCGATGTTTTTCTATCTTAAGTTAATCAACCGTGAATCAATAGTTGCGAACGCAGCGAGAGCGTGTCGAGGGTCTGTCGTCACGGCAACCGGCGGAATGTTGTGAGTCCGTGTGTTACTTATGTATAAAATAACAACAATTAAGTTCTTATGTCAAGCCCTTTCAGCCAATTTTCACAGAGTGTCTTAACTGTTATTCTCTGATCTGTGATTTCAATAGTTTTGTTCAGTCTCTGAGATGATGCTGCTGTGATTTATTAAGTCTTACGCCAAAGAAACACGACGTATGAATGAGTTTTAACGGTTCAACAGTCGACCCAGAGCAGCCGTCATCAAATCAATTCAGCTTTTTATTTATAGTTTTTACAAAGGTCTCGATGCACAAATAACAGATCAGAGAATCAAAAAAAAAAAAAGGAAATAAAGTGATAACAAAACCATTGGAGCCAGGACTGAGGCTGTAGACCCAGGACCGAGGCTGTAGATCCAGGACTGAGGCTGTAGACCCAGGACTGAGGCTGTAGACCCAGGACTGAGGCTGTAGACCCAGGACTGAGGCTGTAGATCCAGGACTGAGGCTGTAGACCCAGGACCGAGGCTGCAGACCCAGGACTGAGGCTGTAGACCCAGGACTGAGGCTGTAGACCCAGGACTGAGGCTGTAGACCCAGGACTGAGGCTGTAGATCCAGGACTGAGGCTGTAGACCGGATGAGGCTGTAGACCCAGGACTGAGGCTGTAGACCCAGGACTGAGGCTGTAGACCCAGGACTGAGGCTGTAGACCCAGGACTGAGGCTGTAGACCCAGGACTGAGGCTGTAGACCCAGGACTGAGGCTGTAGACCAGGACTGAGGCTGTAGACGGAGCTGTAGACCCAGGACTGAGGCTGTAGACCCAGGACTGAGGCTGTAGACCCAGGACTGAGGCTGTAGATCCAGGACTGAGGCTGTAGACCCAGGACCGAGGCTGTAGACCCAGGACTGAGACTGTAGACCCAGGACTGAACAGAAAAACAGTCGCGCGTTCCCCTTGTGGAGTTTTGAAGAGAATATTGTAATACCACAACCAACCACATGATGGCGATCTCACAGGAGATGCCTGGAAAACCCATGGGGAAACCAAAGCGGTCTCATTTACGCTGCTTCTTTCTCCTCTTCAGAACAAAACATGAACAAACCGAGCTGTTTGAGATCATTACATGTGTTTCTACTGTAGGTTTATGTGACCGTTCTAAACTCATCGTTTCAACTCATTTAACTGTGATGCTGTGAATGAAGACACACTTCTGGTTGGAAACATTGTTATTATTATAAAATATTATATATATTATTACTATATTACACTTATTTTTAAATAGATATCAGCACAAACAGAAAAACAATAATAGTGGTAAATATCCGAGACAAACATGAACGATTTATAAGTGCAGCAGGAACGGAACAAACGCAGCTACGATTCAAACAAGACAGGAACAGTTTATAAGTTATATATATGTTAGATATATGTTAAATACATGTTAAATATATGTTAGATATTAGTTAGATAGCAACAGAACTGAACAGTCCACAGGCTCTGAGCCCAAACTTCTTTTCCTTCGAAGCACAAAGCTCTCTGCTCCATAGTGCCTCGTCCATGCTCCTGCTGCAGCCGCTTCATGCTTCCGCCCAAAACACACACACGGACCAATCACAGCGGAGCTTCTCTCACACATGGACCAATCACAGCGGAGCTTCTCTCACACATGGACCAATCACAGCGGAGCTTCTCTCACACATGGACCAATCACAGAGGAGCTTCTCTCACACATGGACAAATCACAAAGGAGCTTCTCTCACACATGGACCAATCACAGCGGAGCTTCTCTCACACATGGACCAATCACAGAGGAGCTTCTCTCACACATGGACCAATCACAGAGGAGCTTCTCTCACACATGGACCAATCACAGCGGAGCTTCTCTCACACATGGACCAATCACAGAGGAGCTTCTCTCACACATGGACCAATCACAGCGGAGCTTCTCTCACACATGGACCAATCACAGCGGAGCTTCTCTCACACATGGACCAATCACAGAGGAGCAATCAGCCCCCATGCAGCTGTGGCTATAGAAGTTGGCTCCAGCTAGCTTACAGCGTCTTCTGTATTTAGGCTAACTCCTAGCGTTCGGCCTTTGGTTTAGCTCCATCTTTGCTAACATCCAAAACAACCCCCGACCCGTGGAAATAGGCTCAGACAGTCACATGTGGTCCTCAGTCTACACCAGGCAGGTCTAACTCAGGCCCGTGGGCTGAATTCGGGCCCCCAGACCATTTTTAGTGGCCCCTGAAGTGATTTACATTATCACTTTTACAGTAACTCGGGAATACTATGGCATGTTATACTTCTCAAGAAAGCAACCAAATATTCTGTAGTTTGTTCTAAAATGTGAACATATGATTAGAAGTTAAAGGTGCAGTAAGCGATTTTGTTAGCTTAGCCTTAGCAGCAACTTGAAACCACTCCCCCCTCCCCTCGCCTCTCCACCAATCCAAAACAACCGGCACACGTGAACGCACATCCATAAGATGAACATGTCACATTCTCCCGATGAGCAGAGGAGTCGCGTATCGCGGCTGTGTACACAGCTGCAGAGTCCTGCTGCTGTGTCTGAGGCGTGTTGCTGCAGCCGTTACTATTTGTCGGCTCGAGCGTATGTTAGTGTGTGGTGTGTTCACGGGCAGTCTGTACAAAAAGTATTGACATGACAAAAAGTGCGGTAGAACAGTAAAATCCACATGTGTGTTTTCTTC